AGAATGAATCTTCGGTTAGGACATGGGTAGATACACAGCCATATTTTTTGTCTTTTGTGCATGTGGTGAGTAGTTGAGCGAGACCCTATAACGGGCATCGAGCATGGGCCTCGCCCAACTACGCACCACATACACAAAAGACAAAAGATATGGCTGTGTATCTACCCGTATTCTAGAGGAAGATTCATTCTCATTTTGCACATTTGGTGAGTGGGGCTCTCTCCTCTACGCGTGCCAGGAAATCCGACGAGCGGTTTCAAGTTTCAGCAGATTTCGTGGCATGTGTAGTGGAGACACCCACTCACCAACGGTTTCAAGCTTCTGTCACTTTCTGACAGATTCTGCTCGGGTATAAAAGGTAAGTTTCTGGTTCTCTTTTTCTTTTTGCAAAAGCACTGAGTTCTTGTCGTTTTCAAAATATACACTGCCACGTTTTTGCCTCCTCCCGCTGCTGCGAGCCTCGGCCCCACTGCCACGTTTTTGCCTCCTCCCGCTGCTGCGAGCCTCGGCCCCTCGCTGCCTCAAAAAAAAAACTGCGGGGCCCTGCGCGGCCTCAAAAAAAATATATATTTTTTCGTAACCCGGCGGCCCAAAGTGCCTGCCGGCCTTGCAACCCCCCCCCACAACTTTCGTTTTTTTTTGTGGCCCCCCGATTTCACAATGCGCCGCATGCCATGTGCGCGCGTCGTGCGCACTGCGCGGTGCGGCGCACGTGCGCGTTGCAGCGCATGGCAATGTGCGGCATGTATGGTACATTCTATTCAGGGAAAGACCGTTCATGTCTGTACAAAAAAAAACAAAAACAAGAATTGGGCCTTCCTCTTTTTCAAAGGTTATTCTTTTTCTGATTGCTTTCATTGTCAGATTCGATGGCTTCCAAAAAAAAAAAAAAAACCTTAAAAAAGGCCAAACAAAGAAAAGTCTAAAAACTTAAAAAAAACGCTGCAATGAATCCCCGCCAACATATTGTTTGATGTTATATCGGATCATTATCGAATCATAATATCGATAGATTCGATACAATAACAAAATGGGGTTACCGTACCTCGTCTGGAAAAAAAAACAAAAACACGCACAAGCCGAAGCTCAGTAATGGCCTCAATGAAACCGGGTAGAATTGTGAGATCCTCGACCATGTTCCATTTCTGATGGTGTAATATAAACAGCCGGACATGTTAAAAAAGAAGAAGGAAGAAAAGGACACCATGTTGTACATACCGTAGCCGCCGGCTCTGCCAAGACATTCACGAAAAACTTGGCCTGCTTGCCCACACAGTCACGTGACAGAGGAAAAGACAAAAAAAAAAAGAAAAAGGACCGAGATTGTCAGCCACGTCCTCGACCATCAGGAACCACTGCAACCATCAACAGCGAGCTATTACCGACATGCATGCACACAAACTACCACACACACAGCACACAGAAAAAGCATGCACGCATGCGGACATGGGTATCCATGTGCGCCACCTCATCCTTTCCCCCGTTCTCGCTGGGCAATTTCTGCTCACATTACGCTCATTTTCCTACGTCGTTTGTAGTCATCCCGCAGCTCTTCATCTCCTCCTAACATAAAGGGAAGAAAACTTTTTTTTCTTTTTTTTTTTTTTTTTTTGTTAACAGGTCCTTATGGTCCTGGCTCCATATCCATTCTGGGGAGCATCAGTCCGGTTACTATTCCCCCGGCAAGTCAAAAATGAATACATCATCAACCCACTCACGCTTCCTTCCGTTTGGCCGAAGGAACCCTGACCAGCAAAACTTTTAAAAAAGAAGAAAAGAAAAGAAAAGAAAATGGGCCTCCCACTCTGTCCAAGCACAGTGCAACGATGTAATTGCAGTCTATTGCCATTCCACATTTTTTGTAAAACACATAGTATTACAG